CGGGGGCCCACGGACACATGTCAAGTAGCCACTGAAACCAAAGCTCACCACGCTGTTTATTACATTATTATAGATAAAGAAGATAAAACCTGTCTTATGTCCATATTGCACTTTAAGCTTTCTGAGATGTCGTCGACTGTTTCCTGTCTTTTCACACCAATCCTGATGTTACTCAAGTAATTACCATTAACTCTATTAAATGAGTAAAGCGGCTGAGATAGGAGATGTAATAAATTGCCCACGATTTCAAATGCAGCCGACAAGTCAAAACTAGAACTCAAGAGACCCGACGAGAGCCCTTTGCAGAGGGTGAAATCCATGGAATGGCCCCCAAAGGCAGTTTTCTGTGCCCTCCATCCTTGGCAGAGAGCTGAGCTTCCAGAAAAGCTATTACCTACGGACAGATGGCTTCTGACAGCTTATTTACTGCCACTCATTGTGCCAGTCACTGACTTCCAGTGCCTGGCTGAGAGGCCCCCGAATTTGGAATCAGACAGCCCACTGGCTTGGATCTGGGCCCTGCCGCTAAATGAGCTGTGTGACTTTGAGGAAAGTCACTTAACCTTTCTGAAAGCCAGTATCCTCACCCAGTGGGAAGGACACCACAGCTCACTCCCAGGGACCCTGTGATACTGTATGTGAAATTGCTTTGTCAACTGCAAAGCACTTTGTAAACGCTGAGTATGTTACTGGCTTGCACACTTCCGAAGGCTACTTGGCAGAGGCACATAGTCCCACGGCCCCAAGAAAATAATAAAATCTATGAGGAACGGATAAAATCACTCTCAGGAGGAAGAAAGACATGCTCGCACTCTGAGCCGCCTCGGCCTGCAGTCATTGGGTCCCCGTGCTCTTTAATACCTGTGTATTTTTCCTTCCTGGGACAGTGATATCTTCCCTGCTGCACGTCACCCCGCCTGCGACAGTCGTCCCATCTGTGCAGCTATCAGAGCAAAGACATTGCACTCACTGGGTCCTCTGCCTGAAGCTTCACAGCAGGATCAAATGTGTTATCAATACCTCTGTCCTCAGTCACTGAAAGAGAATTATCAAAATATTGAGCTTCCGGGGAAGTTCGGTAAAATTATTTTTCACTGAAAAATATAGGGATCTGAAGT